CAGCATAAGATAGTCATAAGTATTTGTAAGAGGGGAAAGACAGAGGGCAAATAAGGATAGGAGTGGTTTAAATGCATGATTAAATCTGGGTAGCTTGATCTCCTTTCATGCTGTGGATGTTGTGTGCTGCAGTCACGCCTCTCACTGCCAGCCTGCACTGGGATGATAATCACTCAGTATGAAAACTCATTAGCTCCACAGCAATGAGTCCTCCACTGCTGAAGCTTGGTGCTGTTCTTAGTACCATGGCAATGATCTCTAACTGGATGTCCCAAACTCTCCCATCTCTGGTAGGACTAAATACCACCAGAATAACCACTTCAGATACTCTAGTAAGTAGCTCTGATATGTTGCAAGCCATCTTAATGCTGAAGTAGTATTTAAGTACCAGCAAAAGCTTTAGTTTGTTGCCTCTTTGTAAATCTCTTTTTAAGCTACTAATCTTCCTATCATCACTTAATGCATGCTTCTCTTTGGGCATCATAAAACTGCACATTAGTGAGCATGTTGTGGTCTTACTATGACAGGAAAGATTTTAAAATAGCATCTTTAAATATTTAAGAACAAATGCCTTCATCTTGAGCATAAAATGCTAAAAATAGTACAGCAATGTCATTTCATTTGTCTAGACTTTTTTTTTCCCTGTGTTTACTGCTCAAAAAAATGTATTGCATTATTAAGAAAAAAAAATATCTAGCAGTAGGTTTCTTTTTGTCTGAATAATGGTTATATATTAGCTATTCACTACAATATGCAACGGGTCTGGTTCTTTCCTATTTTTCTCTATTAGAGTACAGTTAAGCAAATAAATGGCTGTTATAAACAAAATAAAAGGTTGGGTAGCAGAATTTTAGAAAGGCTGATATGAGAATCATACAAATGACACAAATATCACTTTGTATGGTTGATGCTTCTATACAGTAGCCTCTGTTAATGAAGACCTACAGCTGTGATTAACTACTCATGAGAAGCCTAAATATTAAAGTAATACTTTAATTGCACAAGAGGGAACAGTATACTGTTACTCATAAATTAAACTAGAACATTGTTTTCCTAAATGTTTAGTAAAACACTGTGTATCTTTTTGTGTAACTGCAATCAGATGTTTACATAATAGTATGTTACGTAAAATGTAAATTTAACTATTTGTACAGTAGTTCACTATGCTCAGAACTTAGTTTTTTAGTTGTAACTAAAACTGATGAATTTACTAATCAACATGTAAGTGACTGAACATATGCATTCAGGAAAAACATTACTGCAGAAAAACACTGCACTTAGACTTTAAATATTACTACTTTAAAATTAATTGACATAACAATTCTGTTGTGTTTTAGAGCAGCAAGAAGCTGAGAAGAAAAGGAAAAGCTCTCTTATTTTCCTTAGATGTAACTTGTGCTTATTGAACTATAGTATATAATGCTAGTTCTGGTGGCAATATGATATTAAAAAGTAATGAAGTTCTCTATCACAAATCCAAGTGTAAAGTTGCAACTGAGTATCTAAGAGATGCACACTAGTTATAATAACACACACAGACATATAAATCTATTTATACACACACACACATATATGTTTACATATATTAACAGGTTTCAGATTCCAAGTAGTGTAAACTGTCATCCCTCCCTTGGTTACAACAGAGCATTGCTGACATAATTGCCTCCTACGTATTATTTCATTAGTGCTCTTTGCACAATTGAGTTGGAATTATACGCACATTTAGTGTTTCGAGAGGGATAGCAGGAGTGCCTTCAGAGCTGGGGAGACAATCATACAACACCCCAATTATCTGAGCCTGAAAATACCTGCCAACTCAAAAAAAACCCAAAACCAAAACCCAATGAAAAAAGCCCACTTCAATCATGCAGGGGTCTTTGTGCATACAACCAAGCACCCCAAGTCTCCTACCTTTTTCTAAACTTTAGATACAGGCTGAGAGACTTCATGCTGGAGGTGCTCAGGAATACTGGTTTTTACCTGCCATCAAGAGTTATCCACTGGCAGCTTGTCCAGTGAACAGTGCAGCACATGCACTTCTCCAGAAATTCTCTCCTAGCATATACACTGCTCATAAATTGTGTATATTGTACCGGGGAAAAGAAGAAAACTCCCAATTTCCTCCCTTCAGCTGGAAGAATTGCACATGGAGGCGAGGCTGGGACAATGGCCTCCTCTTTTCAGCTCGGTTACAGTCCCATGATGGAAACTGCAACACAAACTGAAAAAACTGTTTATATTTAAGCAACCATATTAAGTACACATACTGCCATTTACCCTGTCACTAGTAACAATGGCAGTAACTATGGCAGTTTTATCAGAATATATAAAAGTGAAAAAATAAATCTTCCTGTGGTAAGTGAAGTGAGTCTGTAGCACAGCACCCTGCCAAGGCAATGATTAATATTGGTCTTTGTAGGGACTCTTCTGTTTTCCCCAGATTTTCAAGAACTAGAAAAATGTATTATTGTTGCTATTCTCCAGTTGTTATGCTATTTTCTTGTTTGTCTACTAAGTAAGGCCTGTCAGCAGTGAGCCTCCATTTGAAGAGTAGATTCAGTAGCTTCTGTAAGGTTTTTTGATGCCTTCTAGCTCCTTCCCTGCACAGCACAGCGGCTTCTGCTTGAGGTAGAGATTAAATGTCAAGATGAAAAAATAAAAGACGGGGGAAAAAAAGCAAACTGCACCTACACACACATGCTTGTTTTTCCCTGTGATCGCTCATATTACCCATCCTAATTAACGAAGGAACCCTAGTGGCCCAAATACAGAGGACCATAGAATACCACAGAACCTGTAGCCTAAATTGTAGGAGCTCTATGTGAGCATTTATTTATGCACAAGCAGCCAATAACCACTTGTATTGTGTCTGACAGTCTCTCACTGTGAGAAATATTTTCCCAAATAGCAGTTAGTTTTTCAAAATCAAGCTGTATGCTAAGCACCATGAGAAAATAGCTGCCAAGTTAATCAAGAAAGTTTGGGGTTTTTTTAACTTAGATAAAGCCAAGAGACACTCATGACATCATTTGAATATATAAGTACATTTTGATAATACAGTCTGGATTATAATGGCTTTACTTTAGACTGCATGTGATCCTGGTATCTCATCCATTCTCCACTGTAGAAAACTTACTTGAATGTGGTAAAACCGGTTGCTACCAATCTAAATGTAGCAGGTATAAGGCTCAAATATCACAATTTTTCATAAACTCATATTAAGAATTTCTGTCCTGAAAGAATTATAATCACAAGCTCTATGTTCCTGAATTTCAACAAAAATTCCGTTTCCTTGCTCTTGCATGACCACACCGTCTGGGCATAAATTCTACAGAGAAGCATGGATGCTACTGGCGTGAATAGTGTAGGCTCAACACTTCACAAGGGTTACCAGCCTTGATAGGCTTCAGTTGTTCAACCTTGCAATTTTAGTAGCTGCTTAAAACCAATTTAAATTGTCTCTGCTGGTGTAATCTTCTTTAGTTTTTATTATTCCCCATGTATTCAGCTAGGTTCCCTTTGCCCTAAAAATGAAGAACACCATAGAGGCAGTATAATTTAGCACTGAGCTCCGGATATGCCTTTCTAGCAAACCCCAAAGCAAATTCAGCCGTTTTCTTTTTACAGTCATCTACGTTACGACACTTTGTTTTTCCTTGCAAAACAAGGGAATACCATTTCGATTTTTCAATTAACTCCACGGCAGAAGAGGTCATTGCTACCTTCAATGACTTCTTCAGAAGAGTCATTGTTGTGAAAAGTCTGTGCTCTTTTCTAACCTCAGTCTACAGAGATATTGCACTTCTTCTGAGGTGAGGAACTCTGCAACTTATTCTGCACTAAGCCACCAGTAAAGCATCAATATCAAAGCTCACCAGTTTAAATAATCAGTCTCTGTGCTGACACTAAGCACAGTTTTATAATATAACTAGTAATTGATTTCAACTGTGTCCAGACCAAAATTACTTCAGTGGCATCTATTAGCACCTGTACTTTGAAATCCAGTAGTCAATACTATATCGGCAGAAAAGAATAATGCATAATATTAACTTTAAATTACAGATTAGAAAGAATTATTGTGTCCATTAGTTTTAATTCCATCACCTGAATTTTTTCAATCACCTAATTATATTGCTTTCTGTTCTTCTTATATTTAGTATTTCTAACCATCCCATTAAATAGACAGATACCAACTCTCACAAGGTATCACACAAACTTTAAACGCAGTGCAGCGTTAGCCTGCTCTGCAAGCAAATGTGATTTTTTGCTTTTCTTTCTCGGTGGTGGCTGCTGTAAGAAAAGGACAGGTTAGGAATTTCCAGAATTATTCTGTTCCAGTGGAGGATGCGCAATATCTTAACTGCACTGGGTCATGCTTGCCATGACCCCCATTCACCTAAACTAAGCAGACACTTTCCGGCACTAGCCTGCAGCGAGCCTCCCTTCCCTTTGGGGTGTGTGTGTGCAGTGGAGGTCAATAGAGACCAGTTTTCTCTGTGCTGCGTCTTTAAGAGCAAACCTGCTAACCCATATCCCCAACCGCTTCCCAGGCAATTCCCCATGCGTGAGTCACATACACTCTGCTCTCTCTTTGGGCTTTTATATTTGTTCTTTTCTGCCTTTGTTGTTTCCATTAGTCTAAAGTAAAAGTCATTCAGGCTGAAAGGCCATGTTTGTTCTCTGCTGATGAAAAACCATAACATCTCTTTGCAAAGAATTAAATCAACTAGTTTGTGCTGACTCACAAGCAGAAAACTGTTCTCATCCACCCTGGAAATAAAGCGTGCTGGACACTTCTAGAGAATTATTATAAAGGTGTAAGATATGACAAAACTGTGTGAAACCACCAAGCTAATTAATTAAGAGAGTAATAAATATTGACCAGGAGGAACCTCATTGCAAACATATATTGCAAAAATAAATATTTTGGAGGTAGTCGTTTTTCAAACAACAAATAAATCAGTTCAGTTCCCTTTATTTTTATTATTTTGTTGTTACAGACACAGATTAGCCCCAAGGAAGGGTGGCAAGTTTATAGTTCAGCCCAGGATCCTGATGGCCGTTGCATTTGCACTGTTGTTGCACCTGAACAAAATCTATGTTCAAGAGATGCCAAAAGCCGGCAACTCAGACAACTGCTAGAGAAGGTAAGTCTTCCCAAAAAATTCTTCCTTTTGATCACTAGACTTCCCACGGAAATCCACTGCTTTCCCTCTAAGTTTAATAGATAATGGAGTACTGAAGAGTTATCTAATAGAAATATTTCTTCAGGTTAAATCCCTTACCTGTGTTCTCACCACTGATCGTTATTTGTCTATTTTCCTTATATCACACCTTTCCCAATCCAAGCTATGTACCTAGCAAACTGAAGTTGCATCTTCTCTCTTGTTCATTCCTCCCAAAATTCTTCCCTACACACTGACAGGACTGATTTTTCTGTGTAAAAACAGTTTCAAATCCCACCTCAAACCAGCTAGATGCTGTGGGATTTATACTACAGCTTCTCCTTCAATCAAAGGAGACTCTTGAGGGTCATCCCTTCTCTCTTATCAACAAATAATGACATATAGACATAAGAGATCTGCAAACCAAATTGTACAGAAGAGAAAGAGTTCCAATTTTCTTTCTTTTTTTTTTTCCCTCAAATAATGATATTTATTCATTCTCTGGTGGTGCAAATTTTCCTCAAACAACCTTATTCTTAACTTCCAGTATTATCCACTACTGCATATATAGAAAAATCAGTGAAATGTTATTTTGCATCAACAACAAATAAAAATGCTGCAACTGTGAAAACACAAGCCATTTTTCTGCATCCCCTGTACAAGTAACCGAGGTTATAGTTATTGTATCACAGCTGGTGGTACAGAACCTGAGGCCTGAGAGAGTGCTTGAACAGCAGCAGAAAGCAACATAAAATGCAGACTTAAAAATACAATTTTTAGCATAATTTTTCAGTATTTTTCTAGCTATAGAAAAATCACTCCGGTGCTAATATAGTGCCAGATTTTCCCTCTGTAAACTTCCATAAACTTCAGCGGGGACTTAGGTTCAGGTTGTGACAGAGCCCATAGCATGAGATGCAGGGAGAGGACACTGATGAACCAGCACTCAGAGGAGGAGCTATCTTCCCTCATGCTGTCTATTTACTTAACAGAGGAAGAGTTCAGTCCCCAGAGTCTTTGCTCTGGTATATTTCTCAAACAATAAAATATTAATGTTTTTAAAAAATCTTACCTCTTTTGCAGTGGGGGCTGGAGGGGTGTTAAGATGTCAACATAGTTTTGGGGCTGCCATGGAAAAGAACCTAAATCATCAGTCTCTGAAAGCTATTTTATTATCATTAGAACCGTGGTAATTATGGGTATGAAATGTCACATTATGATTTCACTAAGTCTATGCACAGTCATTTAATTAGACCCTCTATGTCAATGCACGTTCTGCCAAATGGAACCACTCAAAGTTCTTCCAAGATATGAAGAACTTTATCTGCCTGCTTTCAACAATTAGAAAACAAAGAAAATGGAAACATTACTTTTTTTTCATTAAAAATACTTTTTAAGAACTGCTAATGGCAACTGCAATAACTCCTAGTGTATACTATTTTTAAGAGTATTTTAAGAGTATTTCCTGAATCCACACATTCTGTATATATTAGTTTCAAATATGAATATCAGTTCAAACATTGCATATTCTTGCAAACAGCAGGAATACTGCCAGGTTTGTCTTTTACTTCTAGAAGGAAGGTAGAACTTTTTCTTTTTTTTTTTTTGCTTTAGCCAAAACCTCAATATGGTGCCTAATACATTAACAGAAGGCCCCACAGCCTAATAGCCTTTTTTGAGCCCATTGATAATGGTGCTGGAAGGATCTCTACCTCAAAGAGGCTAGTCTAAATCATTTATGGCTTCAAGGTCTTGCTCCCGATAGTCCTCTCTTAGGCTTGTTCCCCAATTTTTGTACTGTCCTGCAGTTATGGAATTTAAAGCTATTCTGTGGTATAAATGACTCTCAACTAAAGCATTGACATAAGCACATTTTATTGCCTGACATTTAACTACCTAACCAGGAAAAAAAGTAAAGCAACAAAAAGTGCATTTAGAGAGTGTTCTTCTTTAACAGGTTCAGAATATGTCCCAATCTATTGAAGTTTTAAATCTACGGACTCAGAGGGATTTCCAGTATGTTTTAAAAATGGAAACACAAATGAAAGGGCTGAAGGCCAAGTTTCGGCAAATTGAAGATGATCGGAAGACATTAATGACAAAGCATTTTCAAGTAGGTTTTATTTTAACAATAACTTTGAAAGCCTGCTGGAAGCAATGTACTAAGCAGCAATGCATGGACTGCTAAGATCTCAGCTTGAAATGCTCATACAAGAGCAACATTAAAAAGAAAAGCATAATAAATCTTCCTTTATGGTGATAATCATTTGGTCTGTTCAATTTAATTGTAATAGGGAGTAACTATTAATTATTAAGTCATTAGAGAAATGTCACTATAAAGATTCCTGTTTTTTCTGTATCAATGTGCATGTCATACTGAGACATTTATATTCATTCAAGCTCCAGTGATAAATGGGCAGATCCAATGGAATTAATAGCAAACAAGTAGAGAGTTCTGCACTTCTGCTGTTCCCTGACATTTACTGCAGTTGAAGGGAAGAAAGCCTATAATAAATCAGGTTATTGTAACTTTTATCCAGTACAATTAAGATCTAATTTCATGTCTGAAGGTTTGCTATTTTGAATTTGGGATGGGGAAGAGGGCAATCATTCCCAGTCACATTTGTGTGATTAAAAAAAGACTTCCAAGGAATTTTAATGACAACAAAAACTACAAGCCAATCTTTTTCTGAGTAAGGATAGTTGCAGAGATTACAAAGTAGCATTGTGTATTCTGAAAAAGCTATCTGAAGCACTTTTAAGGAAAAAAAAATTACAAGAGCATATTTAAGTTCTTTAAGTATCAAGTCTAATAAATTGATATTTCAAGACAGGAAAATAGGATCTAGAAAATAGATTGCATTATGTTAACCAAATATATTTTTTTAAAGTGTTTGTTAGAGTTCACATAAAATGGACTTAATCTTCTAATTAGTGCTAAAGTTAGACATCTAAACAATTACATATCTAAGGGGTCTAATTTATTTCAGGGACACTGAATATCCAGTGAGTCCTAATAATGTCAGTAATTAAATACGTAAATGATCTGACTACTAAACTTTATTCTTTATGTCATCATTGTTAGTTTAAATTAGAATTTGAGAACACACTTCCAGTTATTTTCAGGTAGTAAGAAACTTCTCCACCTTTTTTTCCCTTCGTCACTCATTGCTACAATAACAACACATTTGTATAATGCCATTATATATTCTGTATTCTCATTATAGTTTTTCTTGGGAACAAAATATCAAAATTTGAATGTCTGATACACAATGTCAAAGGTAGCAGATTTCTGCAGTACTCTAACCTTTTAAATATTCAATATTTGTATTGGCCAGTCATTTGACTTCAGTTTGACAGTTTGCCAGGAGTATAAAACAGAATTCCAGCAAATCAAATTATAGAGTAATTTAAAAGGTCAACATAATACAATATGCTGCTGGCTTTCTGAGATCTGATCTACTCAAATTCCAGTGCTTTATCCTTCCTGAGACAAAGAAACTCATTGTGGATATAGCATAACCCCTCATATCAGCGAGCATAAAGTGCCAGAATATACTATCACCTATCTGTGTGGCAATACAAATTAGTTCTTGTACCACTCAGAGCAATAAGCTTGTAGTGTCAGCAGAAGCCAATAAAATTATTTTCATTTTTCATATAAATACCAAACCCATCTTTATATCATTTACTAAAGTGAGATATTCTAATGCTGTGGTTTCATGTTGATGAGAACAAAGAGCACAGATTTGATCCAGATCACACTTGAGCATACGCTCATACTTCAGTCAATCAGCATTTATGCCAGGCAGGACATACCTGATTGCCACAAAAAAATTACAACAGTTTGCTCAAATGACACCTCATCTGACATAAATCCTATCAGGAATAAGTTACCTTCACTAATTCTCTTTAAAGACATTTTATCTTCCTGAGTTTTTATAAGCCTTGCATTTCTTTCCATTGTGGTTTACGCATGATTTTCGGCAGTTCACCACCCCACAGAACCAAAGCCAAAGTTCATAATTTCAAAATGAAGTAACAAAAAATTTTGGTGTCTGGAGCTCTACTTTCAATGTCACAAAGCCTACTCTCCTTGTCATCAAGGAAAAAATAACAATTCATTTTAACAGGCATAAAGTAGGCTCAAGTTAAGTTTTTAATAAAAACAGTCAAATAAAAATAGTTTTAACTGTAGGCAAAAAATCTCTCCACTTCTTTTTTCCATTTCAGTAATTCTGATACTATAACGTAATTGGAAGACCCCCTGAAAATAGAACCAATAGAACTCCTAATACTCTCAAATCCATTTATAATGGCATATCTATCTGCTTATAATGTAAAATACAATTTTCTAGCTATTAAAGATGACCTGGTGTGCAAAATATACCTCCTAGCAACACATATAAGTCTTTATTTTGAATAAATAATAATTCCAATATGAAAGCAATTGTTAAAACAATACGGATATATTAGCCAAGTGATGAAGAATACTGCAGAACTCTCAAGCTGTCTTAGAACATGTTTGAGGCAAAAAATTCAGAGGTAGATCTTCAAGCAGCTCAAATGCTGATCCTGCCTATCAGCCTCTTTCACATCTCATTAGCAAAAATGCATTTGGCATCATCATGTTATTTATTTTGGAAATACCCTACCCTGTTTATTGCATCCTTTAATACAAGTGATGTAACAAACTGTACATTTGTGTCTTCGCACACCTCTGACTACACTAACCTCTAACCACATTTGCTTCCACAACTCACTCTTGTGCTTGGTCTTCCATTGAGTTCTCTTCTGCTTTCCCTTTTGACCTGCTGACTACTCCAGCTATTCTTCAGGACTTGATTTTTTAATCCTTTCAATAGCTTCTCCCTATGTGTTCTCATCTGTTCCCGATGTCTATTACCACCTAATGCTAGTATCTAACAAATCTTTATTTCCATCCTTTGCCTTGTTTTGTCTAGGCTTGCATCTTCTCATGTCTCTTGGGCGTTTGCTCATGGAAGTCCTGCTGGTTCCTCAAATTATAGAGAGAGATGCAAATCTCTACATACAGGTGATACATAAGGGACAAACCTTATCTGCTTTTCAATAAAGCAAAACCTTTTGACTGAGAGGATTCTTTGAGGTTTTCTACAGAATAATAACTAAAGAAAAAACAACCTTAAGCAATTAGTGTATATTTAATAAAGCCCCTATGATTAGTGAATTTAAAAGAATAATTAAGAAATGAAAGATGAGCAACCAATGTAGGTTACGAACTGAGACGAATTCTCAAATATGAGACTCGGCAAAAGTCTGAGAAAGGGGAAATCCAAGATTCCAGAGTGGAGCCTTATTTTGTTTAATCAATGTTTAAGAACAGGATTGCCAATGCAGTAACAACTGCACATGGCAAATAAAACAATTTGTGATACTCCAGAAGAGAGATCAACTGAGGAAGTTCAAAGGCACCTAGTCATGTAGCAGGATGACAAATAGAAAGCACAGTTAGGAACCATGGATTTTTTACTTCAGAAGAAAGAGTTATATATCACTGTGGCCAGAACACAGCTAAAAAGTCTTCAACAGCCATTGAGGAAAGAAAATGAATGCAAAATTTCTAACGAGTGAAATAGAAATTAACAGCTTACCAACTCTGACAGCACTGTAAAACAGGTATCACCTCCTTGAATGTCGCTTTGTGTTCAGGCCTAATAGACTCCTCTCAAGAAAGACACACCTAGCAGGGCTTTATACCCTCTGGAAAGTCAGACCTTCAACAGGTTTGGTTCAGATCACTTGTACTTTCAGTAGAAAAACTATTATCTCATGCATTTTATCTACTGCTTACTACCATTAAGTCTGAGGTTTCTAAGACTTTCACAATACACAAATAATACATCTGTAACTGAAGTCAATAATCATTTTCAAGTCATTTTAATAGTCAGGCATAAATATTACATTAAGGGGAATTAGGGGATTGAACTCCTTTAAACTGCTCTAATGCACATTTGATTGCCTTTAACAGGAGTTGAAAGAAAAGATGGATGAGCTCCTGCCACTGATCCCAGTTCTGGAACAATACAAAACTGATGCCAAATTAATCACCCAGTTCAAGGAGGAAATTAGGAATCTGTCTACTGTCCTCACTGGGATTCAGGAAGAAATTGGTGCTTATGACTATGAGGAACTACACCAGCGTGTACTCAGTTTAGAAACCAGGCTTCGAGACTGCATGAAAAAGCTCAGTAAGTTAACAATTTCATGGCAAATTTGGTCCCTTGACTGTATATTTTTTAGTTACCTCTGTATAGAAAGATGAAGTTTGGGTTTTTTTCTTGTTTGATGAGAGATTATATCGTGACCGTGCTACCCTAATAAAAGTAAAGAGTAACTCAGCCTAAGATCAGTCACATCATTCCAAGTTTGCACCAGTGTATCTTACATAAAGATCTGCCCTACTGTATGCAGAAGGAAATAAGATAGAAAATTAAAACAGAGAGCAACTTTAAAATCTAAGAAATTTATACCTGGTTGAAGAGCTACAAATAGTCTTTCAAAAAAGTTCAGACAGGCATTGCTACTTGGGTCACCTTTGGGATGTCAGTGTGAAAAAAGATTTAATGGGAAGTAGACTGGAATCAGTTTTGAGATGTCCACAGCATAACCCTGTGCTATGACACCTATGACTCCACTACACTGTCTTTAGACCTGTAATATTAGAGTTAAGAGAGATGTGCCATTCTCCAATTTGCAATACAACATAATTAAGCGTTACATGTAATTTAAGGGAAAAAAGCATGATTTTTGCAGGAAGGACAGCAACAATCTGTTGTAAGTACTGCACTAGATCTACATCAGGCAGCCTCCACCTTGGTTGCTCACATGCTGGCTTTAGTTAGAAGTCGTCAAATGCTGAGCATCCCTGACAATCAGTGCTAGCTCAGTATCAGCTACCAAAACTAACAGCCTGAAGTATCAACTGTCAGCATTAAAAGGGGGATCCCCAAAGAGGAATAATTAGTACCTACCTGCTTTACAACCACAATGGCATCTCTCCTCTCCCCAACCTATCCGTGCATTATAAGACTCCTTAATGGATCACTACTGCAATCTGGATTGCTACAGCCAACAATCCAGACCTTCTATGAGAAATAAACACTTTGTAAGTTAATACTGAACATGAATAAACTAGAAATTCCAAGGTTCGGTCCTGTGACGGGTATCTCATTTATCAAGTGTGGTATGTTTACTTTTAAATGCTACACACGACACAAAATATGTTGTTAACTTCATAAGCAGTGCCTCTTTATTTTTGTGAGGCAATGGAATGAGAAAATATCTAGGTTAGGCTAGCCTCTTAAATTATTTATTTTCAATCTCTTTATTTTACACTAGAAATAACACAGTGACGACGGGCTAAAATACATGAAAGACTTCTTCAAACAGAAATTTCTTATGATCCTATTTTCCCCTCAGTACACACACATAATAGCACATTACTGCATTCACAGGAGGTAGTCAGGAAAAAAAGCCTGCACTGCAATACCGCAGCAAGCAAGAAAAAACATATAAATAAACAGTATTTTCTGATAGTGAGTGTTCCAGTAAGTTTATTAGACACCAAAAGATAATCAACTTATCTTTAGTAACTTGTGGTTTTTTGCTTTTCCAGCATATTCTTGTAACATTGATTAGTGAAGTGACTACATTATAAGATACATTTTATACATCAAAATGACTAGGTGTATTCAAAGGGGTTATTTCCCTATTTTTCATGCACAATTCCCCTCCTATCTGTGCTGAATTCCTGCAACAGATTCTATCTCTCTTGATGTGCTAATGTAAAAAACACTTCTAAAATTATGTATATTAACAATAGAGAGAAAATTTTTGTATGAAATAGATTATTAAGCACATCCATTATTAAAAGGGTTTGGCCTTCTCAAGCTCTAGTACAGATTTATTCATCTTTCTTGGCATTATTCCCTGGTCTTAGATGCTTAAATGACTTTTATACTTGCCTACTAATGGACTGGGTGTATTTCTGGCCTATCCCTGTGTGCCTTTTAAATTAAAAACATCTTCAGTTAGGCTTACTGTGAGTAACTCCTAAAAGCTGGTACTGTGTGGTCAGATCAGTAAGCATGAAAGAAAAGCAGCTTTCATGCCTACACCTTCTCCCCAGCCACATTCACCGCACTTGAGAAGATCCAGCTGTGCCAGTCCATGCCAGTCTGCTGGCCAGAAGCCTATGGCAGCAGAAGGCAGACTGGCCCCAGCATACCACAGGATCTGTCTTAAATCTTCACAGATTTTGTTGCATTTCACAATATAATTATCTAACCAGCGTGTGTAATAGCTATTTTCCATTATTCTCCCTAGCAGGTGTTTTTCAGCAATATAATGCATTATTTATATTGTCCTGGCCACTTAAGAGGGATCTTCCATCTGCACTGGCAACACTTTCAACACTCATTAACATATAGTAAGCAGTTGTCTTACTTTCACTGAGGTTTAATGATTACCACAGCAGTTATGACGACTGAAACTTGCTCCTTGTCTTTGGAATAAGAGAAAATTCAGGCCGAAGCTGCTGAGAAATTTGTCCATGAAAATTTAAAAGGGCGCATGCAATTAAACACATAAGAATAGAGTGCATATGACTGCACACACCACAAATTCACTTATGCACATATGGGTCCTTTGCTGGCAATCATGTAAGGCTGGCAATCACTGTAAGGCACGTGCATTTATAAGAGAATGCAGGTTGCACAGTATGCTTGGGACCCTACTATTCTTGTCATAATGTGTTTATGAAATTGGAAAAAATTTATACAGGTAGCATTCATAGAGACCAATACTCTGCCAAATGTTGCTGATGAAATATGAAGAAATAATTAGAGTAGATACCCATTGGATTCATTTGTAGCTACATCTGATTATAATGTAGAATTTAAACAATATTTTACAGTAACATTTTTGGTTAGAAATTCCAAAGTAGAATATTCTATGTATCCAAAGAAATGCTGTTACAACAGTGGCAGAAGAGGTATTAGTGCAGGCATGAGATCACCTTATTGATTGCAATGGTACTTGTACTTCCAAAGCATCATTCCCTTTGGGATTTGAAGAACTTTACAAACACCATTTAGTATAAAACTGTGCAATAGAGATATATGTTATCATCCCCATTTTTTAGATGAAGGAACAAGCAGCCCAGGAAGATAAATTACTTTCCCAAAGATTACACAGCAAGCCATTGCACACATGCAGAAGAATCCAGAGGTTTCCTCTCAGCAAGCTCTAATAACTAGACTGTAGTGCTTCCTGGATTTGTATTATGCAGGGCAACAGACATACACCCATTAAGTACGAACTAATTCTTCATTCCCTCACATTGCAATGTTATGACAAATTTGACCATAGGCAGAAAAGTGCAAGTAGTAAAACACTTGGAAGTCATTTGTGCAACCACTGAAAAAAACACTCACTTCACTTTCCCCTATTTATTACCTACAATACATGACGATGTTTATAAACACTTCAAGAGAATGTTCTGATTTTATTTCCCTTGCAAACCTTTCTATAAATCATACACTCACTTGGTATATATAGCAGCAGCTACCAATATTCATTTGTGACACAGAGACTGGGAGTATCAGCTACTTATTCCTAGCTATCTTCAAAGCAGCTCCTGTTCAACTGATCTATCAAAACCTTTTCCTGCTTTTTGCTCACTTTAGAGCAGCTTTCCAGATGTGTTCTGCCCCATAGACTTTCCCAGCCTACAGGTGTAGCTCAACTTCTTCCTTAATATAAATAAATACAGGAAGCCACAAACAGACTTACTGGAGTCCACAGTACAAAACCATTACAAGAGATGAATCAAGCCATAAACACCCAGATTGTGTATGATATAATGTTCCTCGTACAGTTCAATTTAGCATGGATAAACACTCAGAGACTTGATTTTCTAATTACTACAATCAGTTATGGTTGGGATTTTCTAATGTAGGCAGCTGCTTCTTTCAAAGTCAAGGGAAAAAGACTGAGTGCTTCTAAAAACCCCAGGGTGCTTCACTGGGTTAGCACTTTTTCTGTGTAACCCCATCTGAACATCTTACTGATGGAAAACATGCCTAGAACTTAGTGTTCCTGAACTTCCTGACATTTGCTAGTATGGAGATGTATTTGATCTACCTTCTCACTAGCACTTGGTCCTTCTCGTGCCAGGGAATTAAAGAGCAGAGGTTTGCTATGAAGCAAAACTTTTCAACCAGTTAAAGAAAAGCTTTCCTGCCATCACAAGACTTATTTCCACATCCTCATATGTTCCGTAATGCCAGGATAAAAAAAAAAAAAAAAAAAAAAAAGAAGAAAGAAGAGGGGGTAAAAAAGGGGTTTTAAAATCATAGGATAGTTTGGGTTGGAAGAGATCTTTAAAGGTCATCTAGTCCAACTCCCCTGCAATAAGCAGGGACATCTTCAACCAGATCAGGTTGCTCAGAGCCCTGTCCAACCTGACCTTGAATGTTTCCAGGGATGGATCACTTACCACCTCTCTGGGCAACCTGTGCCAGTGTTTCACCACCCTCACTGTAAAAATTTCTTTCTTATACCTAGTCATATTGAACAGTATCTCAATACATTTTGAAAGATGATTCTTTAAAAGCATCTGACTCCCGTCACAGCAGAAAGTGGCACCGTTCATATAGTTTAACCTAAATCAAGACTTAAGAGGTTTATTAATTATTAACAGCATGCCATTAACTGGCAATCAGTGAACTATACTTTCAGGATCAACATAAGTAATACAACAGACAAACCACACTACTAGACACTTAAGAAATATTAATAAACCTTCAAAATTCCAAACACCTTCTCTAGCTAGAATCAAAGAGCTCCGGTCACACATGGTGCACCACACGCACACCCACAGAGCTACGTGCGCACCCCACACACACAACAGCCAGCATGGGCTGCAAGCACACCCCCTACTTTTACACCTCTCCGGCGGGAGATGTGGGGCCTCGAGCTTGACGTGTGCCCCTGCTGCTCCCCACTGACACACACGGTGGTGAGAGAGCCTGTGAGTAAACACGCTCCTGCCCTGGCTGTGGGACCCAGCTCGCTGTGCCCATGCTCTGACTCCACTTGGGGAGCGCTGGCTGCTCCCGGTACCTGGTGGGGTGGCTGTCCTGCCTGGCCTCACCAGAAGTCATCATGCCAGCAGACAGTTTTGCAAATTCAGCTCGCACTGTCCACGCTCCTGTGCCCACCCTAACACACAGCCTTACCCCAGGCTGTGTGCCAAAGGTGGGCTCTGTGACCACCCCCACCGTGGGCTCTTCTTTAAGTTTTGTCTGCTCAAAAGCAAAATTTCACAGCTCATTTAGCTTCCTGGATGTCTTTTTTTAATAGAAGACTGTTTCAGAATTCCAAATCCTTTGTTTACGTTTTCCTACTAATTTCAATTCTGTGTTTTAAAGGCACCAATTAGTATACCCTTTAACTTATACATGCATTGTATTTTAATTATCTTAAAAACTACAAAATGACGAGTAATTAAATTATTCCTGATTTCTTTCTACTCATTATTTTTCTGATTTTATTCCAAATTAAACCCCTCTGAAGGTTTGTGTTTACCTTATATCCATTTCTGAGATTATTTACTAACATACGACCAAAAATTAACAGCCTTCAGCTAGACAGGATATAGCCCCTCTACTTTCCAAGCTAGTAGCAATTCATCACTGTAGAAAAACAGCACTCAGCACACAATACTAGCAGCCTATCTAAAAAAAAAAAAAAAAAAAAAAACAGAATAAAAAAATTATGTACTATGATAATCAACTGTAGAAAACCCATAAGACTCTTTAAAATGGGAAATTTCAAAATATCTTCAAAAGATTGTAAGATAGGTAAATAATAATGCTTTTGAATTGGCCCAGAAAATAGAAACAGCCTACCCTGCTCATTGAGGTCTCAGCAGGTACTCGGTTATCTTCATTTCCATTACACCCCACTTCCCTGGCTGTGAAAAAAATCCCTGCGAGCAGCTCCCGAGTTGTCACCTCAGCATTAACCCCCTTCTAATTGACTGAAACAGGCTTGCACAATACATTCCTTGCCAGCTGCCTAAAGTAAAAAATCCAGGCTTGATCTGACCTTCTCTTTTGAACTGAATAAATTCACTCTCAACACCAGATAGAATTTGTTTTCCACATTTCCTAGATAGATAGGGTTATACAATATAGCACAAACCACGTACCAGGGAGAAGCACTTATTTTTAAATTAAAAAAAAATAAATTAAATGTGTCACATCTTTTTACATTCTTATGAAACATCTTTTCTTCAAAGCGTGCTATTTCACCTAATCACCTACACATCACTGTGTGATATTAAGCCTCGTGGTAAACATATGAATTCCACCAGGGCCTTGTTGCTAATAGGTATGTTATTAAAGTCCCCTAAAATATAGATTTTTGGATTGTTAGGAAGGTCAGCATCCAAGATCGTATCGACTCATTATTTCCTCCTAGACAGTCTAATACGAGCCTAATAGATTAGAAGCCAACTGATATAGCCAAGGTTGCTGAAAAATTCTATTTACTTTCTTCACTTCAGACAGTACTGGAACAATAACCACAGTGCAGTCAGACACAAGCATCTGTGTACAGCTACACATTTCGTGCAAAAGCTCATTTTTTCCTGTCTGCCCTTAACCTCCTTGTTACCCTGGTCAATGGAGAACTGAAACATCCATCAATCCTAGCCTTGCATTGAACTTTCTAAAGGCAAAAGTGTCGAGGGCAGGGAGAGTATTCATTTCCGCTCAGAATATATTTTACTAGGTAGCATTTCCTTTAGGCCCAGAAAATGTAACTGTATTTTAAAATATATAAAAACAAAAATATACACAAATAAGTTTTTATTTGTATATTTTTACATGTTTATGGTACTGCTTGATATGTAAAAGTTCATAGGGTGAAGATGACAATCCATCTTTGACATAAGCCTGAAACCCCCGAAGCCAACAATTTAGTTTAGAGCAATTGGTCTTGTGCTCTGACTGATGTCAAGGAGAGTTGTGTAATTATTCGCATTAATGCATTTGTTTTTCTAATTTCAGCATGTGGCAAATTGATGAAAATTACAGGCCCCATTACAGTCAAGATATCCGGAACCCGATTTGGAGCCTGGATGACAGACCCATTAGCATCAGAGAAAAACAACCGAGTATGTTAAGGCACTGAATATCTTTGTGTCCTTCTGGAGTTTTACTTGCTTTATTTTAGTCTTTTAAAAGACATTTTCCCCCTAGGAGGTTACACTCACCAGCACGTTTCTTTTTCTTCCGTTATTTTCACTGTTAAGCATCAGAGAAAAAGCAACAGTGTTTATGCAAAAATATTCAATGACAAAAATTAGCTAAGCACCTTTGTGCCATTTCCTTCAACTGTTTCAATGACAAACATCTATCTGAATTGGCTGCTCAATTTTTTTGTTCCTATGATATTTAATTGAGCTTGGGTCTTTGAGAACTCAAGTACTATAACACAAACATCAACACTTTTACCCAAGAGCATAACCCATAGTGCAGCACAGACAAAATTTGCAGGATTAGGCCCCATATCAGCTGCATTCAGACCATTTGCCACCTCAGATCCGAGTTCTGTTATTGTTTGGGTCTGCAACAGGATCTCTAATTGGCCACAGCTTTGAGGAGATGCTCTTTCCATCAAAGGGCTTTTGAAATCAAAACACTAGAGGTTTCGCTTGTATGAGACCCACAAGGTTAATTTTTTGAATACAAAAAAAAAATAAAGGCAATAAAAAACTCAACATACAAATGATTTGTGTGCAGCTCTCCCCTGCCCACTGTGTCTGTGCAGGTTTATTACTGACCCCAGGAAACTCAATTACCTCTTGTCCTGAAGAAGCAGCTTCTGCCACCTCAGAGCGCCGATGGCTGCTCCAGGTGCATCCTCATGGGCCATCGCCTCCACCAGCAGCTCCCCACCATGCTCCCCTCTGCACACCCTGCAGCTCCCGCTCCCCCCAGGCAGCCTGCGCTTTCCCCCACCTCTTAAAGCAACACAAAGATTACCCGTGTGCACACAAATTAGAGAAAACAACAGCTCTCACAGCATCTCAGCTACTAGGAAGACGGGGACCTGAACTGACATTTATACAAATATTTTGTTAATACCAGTTTTGAAATTGGCACCAAAAAAAATATCTCCAGAAATTATTCTGTTCTTTTGTTAGTCAAGATTTGATTTGTCCTCTGACAAACTAAAAGGAGAAAAGGCAAAATGCATGAACGAAAAAAGGGGGGAATGGAAATTGGCATGCAGAACATTAATCAAAGTATTGATTTTGGTTTTTGTTTAAGGGGGAAAAAAAAGTTCCTAAACTTCACTGGTTTCATTGCTATTTTTTTTTTGTTTCTTTAATAATAATATGCTATTTTTCACCAATGAAAGCTTCAGCTGAAAAAAATTCAACCAAACTTATTCCTAGCTGTAAATCCAAGCTTAGCTCAGATGCCATTTCCCACCTCTCTTTGATTATTAGTCTCTGGGAATATCTTTAAGCAAGCCCCATATAGTAGAGACCCAAACACTGGATAATCCAACATTCAATTTCTCTGAAAATGCACTGTAGTTAGTAACATTCTTCTTGACAGTTCACCTGTATAGGTAAGTTTTGATTCAGAAATTTAAGAGTTTCTCATGTTTTTGTAACAGGAATGTGGACAATATTGTACTTTGATAGCCTGATGCACGCCTAAAACCTTTTTTCCCTTTTTTTTGTGCAATGTATCCATCATGCCATATCATAACCATGTACCACAGATTGTGTTCCAGGTGTTTACTCCCAATCTTTGTTTTCTTTTCAGGTCTGGTACATGGATAGTTACACTAACAATAAAATTGTCCGTGAATATAAATCAATTGCAGACTTTGTCAGTGGGGCTGAATCAAGGACATACAACCTTCCATTCAAATGGGCAGGAACCAACCATGTTGTCTACAATGGCTCCCTCTATTTCAACAAGTATCAAAGCAACATCATCATCAAATACAGCTTTGACACTGGGCGGGTGCTTGCACAGCGTAGCCTTGAGTATGCTGGCTTTCACAATGTCTACCCTTACACCTGGGGTGGCTTTTCTGATATTGACCTGATGGCAGACGAAATTGGGCTGTGGGCTGTGTATGCCACCAACCAGAATGCAGGCAACATTGTCATCAGCCAGCTAAACCAGGATACACTGGAGGTGCTGAAGAGCTGGAGCACAGGCTACCCAAAGAGAAGTGCTGGAGAATCCTTCATGATCTGTGGCACCTTGTATGTTACTAACTCTCACTTAACAGGAGCCAAGGTCTACTATTCTTATTCCACAAAAACCTCCACTTATGAGTATACAGACATTCCTTTCCATAATCAGTATTTTCATATATCCATGCTTGACTACAATGCAAGAGATAGAGCTCTCTATGCCTGGAATAACGGACACCAAGTCCTGTTTAACGTCACCCTTTTCCACGTCATTAAAACTGAAGATGACACATAATTTTCTTTCCCTTCCCTTTCTCTCACCTCCCTCCCTCAAAGCAGTGTCATTTGTGATAAACTCTAAGAGCATCCATCTTTCTCAGTTCCTTTTAATTTATATTTCTTTTTTCATTAAGGAAAAGCAACATTTTCTACCATATAACGCATTTCAAATATGGCCAAGCCTGTCAAAAATGACCTATTGGAAATAAAAGCATCTTAACTCATGATTCTACAAGGTCTGTCAAGACCTTGTCTTGAAAAGCACTAAAGAGGATTTAAGTGGATAAAGACAGTTTTAAAAAGATTATGATCTGCCTTATTTTAGAGTCAGAGACTAATGGTGGCTTAAATGCATGAATGTCTTTTTTTACCTCATTTTTGTTTTTAATCTATTGCTCAACTTCAGGATATATTTTGGTAGTGTCAGACACATATTGCACATTGTATTTTTTTATTTATTCCGAGAGAAAGATTTAGGAATTTAATTTACTTGGACATGGAGTAACATTCATTTTGCCATCACCCAATTTCAGATGTGGTGCTGTACAGTATGTTTTTAAATCTCTTGCAAACATTTTATCAACAGTATGTATTTCTACCATTGTAACCACCATTGTGCAATTGTATCTCTTCACTTATGTGAAAGTAAACTAAGTACTATTTTTTATAAAATATATTGAAGCTTAATTGCAGTTCTGGCTATGGGTCAATTTAAAGTGGTAAAAATCTGAGAAAAGATTGTTATTTCTGAGAAAGACCAACGATTTCTCAGGTACACGATCCCTATTCTCAGCTTTGCTTGGTAGACCCCCTCTTATTCATCATTGGTGCTTACTGGCAAATTTGCAACTTTGAGGCCTCATACCAGTCCCAGCTTCAGAATTGTTTTCCCTGCCCAAGTTTTATCTTATGCTATTGGCTTCTCTCTCTCTCAATGTTTTTTTCTCCTACTCTTTTTCCTTCCACCATTTTATTTCCCTTGTTTATGCTCAATCCCTGATCTGGGCTTTACAAAAGAGAATCTCCAAGCGGGCAGCTGCCCGTGCCTCCAGCCCAAGTATGAGTGCATCCTGGATTTGTGCTGCTCTGGGGCAGTGAGGAACAACGTTAAAAGACAAGTTGCTTTCCTTTATCTGCCTGTTTTCTTACTCATTACAGAACATTTATCTGTTGACAAAGCTCTTCTCTGGGATGACAGTTGTATTTTCAGGGAGAAAAAAACAAAGGAAAAGGTTCAAAGCCTAAACGATCAATGTGGCATCTGGTAGCCACCATATTGCTTGCCCTTGCTAGGAAACAGCCCTAACACTGAGGCCAACCTCTTGCAAAGAGGTTTGGGTTTTACTAGCAGTAGTATTGTTACTTAAGGTCAAAACTGATCCCTTTAAGAAACAAGTCTTTCTGAAAGCTAGGTGGCTTTCATTAGAAACAGGGGGGGGAGGAATGGGGGGAGGAATATTTTATTGAGAAAAAAAGAATGAGGTGCTATTTATCTATTTTGGCATAAATTGAAAGAATTAACACGAAGAACTAGCACAAGACTTTTTATTAAGCTGGGCTATCACATAATGCAAAAAGACAGGTATCTGAAAAATTGTGTGAAAGCTGCATTCCTTGCAAAATCTGAGATTCTTGTCTTTATACCCTTTGAAATTGGGCTCATAGAAAAGCAAGAACATTTATGAAAATGTTCCTATGTAAGAACAAGAAAAATAATAAAATGCACTGACATTTTGCCAGATCTATTTTGAAGACATTTGATTTGCTAATTCTTCCAACATACCAGTTGAGACCACCTTAAGTCTCATGAATGTTCTCATTTTCATTTCATAAGGCTGGTTTACAATACAATCCCACACGAAGCCGAACAATAAATTGCCTCATTCTTCGAGTTGGTTGAAAAACAGAACACTATTAATTAGGATTCAAGAAGTGATAAAGGGGAGGGGGAACCAAAAAATTACATTACAACATGACCAAGGAGAAGTTACTCTCCTCCCTCACTGGAATGACAGCTGTTATCCCTTACAATCGGTTACACAGGATTTGAGACGCCGAGTTCAGCTAAACAGACAAATTAAACCACTTCACTCCAGTGACCTGTATTGACAATGAAACCTCCGTGACATGTGAAAGAGTATACAACTGCTCATTAAAAAAAGTATTGCATCTCATATAGGAATATGTTATGAAAACAAAGTATGTTCAGATTTTTATCAAAAGCCCTAAAGCAAACCCTAACCTTTCCCACACACAAAGTAACTTCAACAAAATGGAATTTTTTTCACAAGTAGAGCATTCTTAAAAATAAGTCATTAGTTTGAGAAATTTCACTTTTCTACTCTATCACCATAAACCAGACTAACAGTCATGACATGAGGATCACTTCATCTAAAAAAAAATGGTTATTGCCATATTTCTTTATAAGAATTTCATACTGTGTAATTAACATGCATACATTAGTACGTGGATAACAGTTCTTACAGTAAGATTAATCTCACCTGATTTCAATGCCATTTAGTTTGCATCTAAAGAGTAACAGACTTCTATTCATCAAAGGAAAAAAAATAGAGAGACACAACTACGGGTTGCGAGAGATCAGTGGGTAAGAGGGGTAGGAAAGGCACCTTTGAAGGGTGATTTATCTTACTGATGAAGCTACTGTGCTAAAGCATATAAGTCATACTTAGATAAATCCTGCCCATCTAAATTAGTAACAATGGGTTGGATTCCAATACCCTTAAACATGAAATAACAACTTGCACAGCATCAATACAACAAAACCTGGTGAGATATTATCAGGTAGGTAGCTCTGCTTCCTGCTTAGAAGTGTTTTTCTGTGAATCACTGTTTATCACCTGTCTTTTCCAAATTGGAAATTCCAAAGTCATATTCCCAAAAGGCTGAAAACACCATACCTCAATATAAGTAAGTTTGTGTTACAAGCTTTGTTTCATAATTGAGCAGCACAAGCAGAAAATCTTCATAACATAGGAGCAACCTACATATCAGCAAGTAAAATTTTATTCTTATAGTTGAAGCATAGGCTGTTTGTTATGAGGAGGTAATGATAATATAGTGGGAATAAAACATCTTTCCTTAAACACAAGAAAATTAACTGTAGAGCCTATTTTACTATCTTGGCGACCTGCAGCTTCAAGAGATAAACATGTAAAAGGACCACGTCATTCCTGCACCCAAAAGATAATTCTTAAATTTCACGAAGCTCTGCTGCCAGCAGAGAGGGATGCACACAACCACAAACCTAACACAGCAAGACAGATCTGCCAATCCACCAGGCATGTCTCTCCTGTGGGAGCCTAAGGAACATGAATGATGCACACCGGAAAGCCCAGAGCTTTCTCTCTGGAGTGGGTGAACCGTTCCCCAAGACAAAACAGGTAGAACAAACCTCCCCAGAGAAAGCTTCCTGAACAGTAATCATCTTTTCTAGTCCCTTCTGGGAATTTTTTCCAGTGAGTAAATACCAAATCCATTGTTATGCATATAGGCTGCTCAACCTGCCCTATCTGTCACCATGTGCTATGCTGACCACTGGCAGAATGACTCTGTGGAGCCTGCTCAGCACTGTAGTCACTGCTAGCAAAAGATGGTATTCAATTTGAAAAAAAAAAAAAAAGAAAAAAAAATAGTTGAACAAGATGGAGTGATACAATGTTTAAAACACAGATTGCCTATATTGAAGAATATTCGTTTCCAGACAAGCTCAGGGATGCTAGCTGGCTCTCAGCTCAGCAAGTGGCATCTACAGAAAAGGAAGACAGGATCTTTGTTTCAAACCACAGCCTGAATAAATTTGTTACCTGGTAATTTGTCATAATAAGCAATTGCTTAGAAAACATGAGAGATGAACAAACCATTCACAGCAAATTATTCATCCAAAAGTTTTATCCTTTTCAAGAATTGCGAGGGAACAGTCTTGATTAGTACTAATCTTTATTCTAGTTAAAACGCTTTTGGAAATCATTTGAATGGGCAGGTATCTTCCTATAAATCATCCAAGCGTTCCTGACTGTGAATGTTACTCTACATCTCTGGCATTCAGGAAGCAATGCTGAGCATTTGGGCACCTTTTCCACAAAAAGCCAATGAGGGCTGCAGCTGCAGAGCATGGGGACAGAGCTGTGTCTCCGCCCGTTGTGCTGACAAGGTCCCCACTGCACTGCTTCTGAGGAGATCGACTCCTGCTCCAAGACACCCTGTAACAACTGCATCCCACCAGAGGTTCACACTCAAAAGGACTCAAGCATGCAAAGACTTACTTCCACAGATCATAGAGCTAAGTCCTGAAACTCACTTCCAGACCAAGAATGGAGACTATCTTATTGACAAACAAAAAGCAAAGCCCGTTTTCTAAGCTGACTTTTCCTCACTCAATCTCCCACACATAACCTTATACATGCACATCAATATGCAAGCAAATAAATTAACTATAAACTAATCCTAGAATTACAGAACAATAAGGTTATTTCTCCCACAGAAAACAGACTATTTAGGTTATGCAAAGATCATTATTACTGGGGCTTTTGCATTCAGTTACTGGGAAACTGAGGAGACACAGAGTTACCAGCACCAAGTTGTGGAGACTATACAAAAACAAGTGTTTTGTGCAGTATGGCTTTTGCTGGGCTCTGGAAAACAGATGCATTATATTCACAACAGCTGTGACCACAGATTCACAAAACTGAAATGTGCAGGGATTTTCTCCAAACTGCAAACAGATCATCCACTTGATTATTTAGTATTATGATTAATTACCACTCTTATAACCTGTTAACTCCTGTAGACTTTCAGTTCCTGTCTGTCAGTGTGTTTAATAAGCATTTCAAGAAAACTTCTAGCCTTGCATCTCCCTTTTTCCTCAGAACCAGCATACACATGACTAGCATACATTGTGTCAGACAAGCTGCAAGGGTGATGAGCACAAGGGACACAACCTTTCTGCAGCCCTCATTCAAGTCAGCAGAGGTTATCATAAAAGTAGGGATCGGCTGCAGATATCAACAGCCTGTATTTCCTCTGAAACTGCCACATGGAGGAAATTCTCTCTCAAAAATAAAAATCACATTTATTGATTTTATATCAACAGGAGTCACACAAGATTCTCATAAGTGTGTCCAGCTTCTTAAAGACTTGGGATATTTTTCTCTATCTCTGAAACTGAGGGAGGAAAGAAAACTCACGTTTTCTTTAGAATCAGAAATTTCTGCCAGACTCACATGCAGCTCGTCAGCTGAGCATCAGCAGCAGAGCCTGTGGAGTCTGCCTGCATCTACTGCTTCAGAAAACTCAATTAAAATAATTACATCTCAGAAACATTTCAGCAGCCCAAGTAAAACAAAGCTTCTTCAGGATTTTGTTTCAAAAATGGCAGTTTTAAATACAGCCCGCTATCAATGCTGATAATAGATGAGCTGCATTCTGTCCCCACACTGCTCAGAAGTCCCATTTCCCCTGAGAACTGTGCAACTGATACACCACAGCAGCACAGAAAAGTGTAGGAAGACACATGAAAATGACAGCTAACATGTCAGATTTGGCATCTCAGAACACAACCCATTTTACCGTGCTTTTTATACAGAAGCTCAAATTCACATTTACACACTTCTTATGGTGAACCTAAACAGTAAGAATCCACAATACTCATATTA